CATGTACATCGTGTGCAATTTACAGCACGGCACAGCATCAAATAGCAAACAAAAATACTAGGCTAATAATGGCAGCCGATACAGTTTACTGTTCTTCCAATCCCGTTAGCCAATCTGTGTGTTGACTGGTGAATGTCTCTAAAATTAGCTAACATTCGAACCTTGTGTTGGCGATTCTAGTTTTACTGATGTGGTTTGTTAGATAAACCAAAACTTTGGACAGTCTGTCTTTTACGCATTCCTTCCTCCTGGCTGGCCACCATCATGTCAAAATATTTCTAAACAGAGTGTGTGAGTCTGCAACTTTAGTTTATGTGGAAAAACAAGCATTGCAAAGCTCTGCAGCAGAATTTTGGTCCCACTTTTTTTTGTAGATTATTTCAGTTAATATAAGTGAGGCAGCTTTACAGCACATTTCATACACAAGGCAGAGGTCCCCCCTCCCCACGCAAGTGTCAAAATAGATATGTGTTAAGTGATAGATTTTTTTTAATTTTATATTACTTTACCACCTAAGTAGATTTTTTCCATTACATTATCTGTATGTCTACTTAAGTACAGAGTTTGACTACTACTAATTTCTGGTGTTTGTACTTGGTTTTTCAACACGTTTGACAGATTTCACTGAACAGTGATTCATTTATTAAGTTGGTAGTGCATGCATTCTTTGTGGTTTGTAAAGCTGTTGCTTCCATCATTGTTCTTACACATCAACTTACTTTTGAGTGAGCAAGCCATCCAGTGTAAGCTGTGTCTGCATTTCCATTCCATTTATTCGCAACTTAAATGCAATATCGAAAATAGACACCCTTGGTATAAAGCGTGACTTCATTTTTAACAATTAATCACTGTATGGACAAATTATACTAATGAATGTATGCGTAGCATTAATATATTTTTTTTAAATTCTGTTGTGTGTTTGACAACTTCAAACGATTCCTGTATGCCGCCACTCATTTCCTCAAGTTGGTGCAGTAAATGCCCCCTTACACATAAACTTGCTTTTGAGTGAGCAAGCCATCCAGTGCAAGCTGTGTCTGCATTTCCATTCCATTTATTCGCAACTTAAATGCAATATCGAAAATAGACACCCGTGGTATAAAGCGTGATTTCATTTTTAACAATTAATTAATCACTGTATGGACAAATTATACTAATGAATGTATGCGTAGCATTAATATATTTTTTAAAAATTCTGTTGTGTGTTTGACAACTTCAAACCAACCTCCCTACTGTTGAGTGTCTTTTGAGGTCTCACTTGGCCTCCCATGATGCCATACAAAAGAGCACAAAGAGGGCACATGCCGTCATTTGTAACTTGAAATGATTGCAGACAGACATTAGCTTTTTTGTTGCTAAATGTCATTCTGGGCTAATTATATGTGCATGAAATGTCATTTTGCTTTAAACTAACTCACGAAATGCCACAGATTGGCAATTGTGGCACAGCTTTGGGCCTCTTGTGAATATGCACCCACACACAAAAACATGTTCAGATGATGTGCTCCAGTGGTTCTCAATTTTTTTACACTAAGTACCACCTAATTAAATACTTAGATCTCCAAGTACCACCACAATGACCAACATTAAAATGGTGTTCCACTTCCAAGTCCCATGATGCATTTGGGGGAAAAAAGTGTTCTTTTGGAACAATTAGCATTTTATTTGGTATTTTTATTTCTTCTTTTCTTTAAAATACATATTTTTTCTGTGGTTTTTGCCCCCTCCCCATAAGTCAGAGTTTGTTCCCCTTCCCTGCGGCATTCCTCAAGGATCAAAATTAGGTCCCATTTTTTTCACACACTACAAGCACTAAGAGATTTCAACCGCAAAATTGTATGCAGATGACTCATAGATTCATTTTCGTTTTAATCCTTAAAGGAGCCATGAGAACAATACACTGCGTGATTGCTTGACTTCAATTAATATCTCAAAATGTGCTTCAGTTGAATGTGGCAATAAGTGACGGGTTGTTTCCCCCGACAGCATGTCTCCAAAATTGACCACCTATTTAAAATGTCTTTATTGGATTTGGTGGAAATAAAATTGTCCGGTTAGGTCCCCAACATGGAATTGAAAACGAAACATGAAAAGGCCTTGGAGTCCCTTCGCTTGCCCACAAAGCTCAGAGCTACTTCTTCAGTAGATATTAAAAAAAACAAAACAAAAAGGAGGCAATGTGTTTATTTTTTATTTTGTTTCTGTATTTTGTATATGTCTGTACTATATGTATGTCGATTATATAACGGTGTCCCCTTGGTGAAAAGTACTTCATAAATACATTTTTTTTTTAAACTAACTTGTTTGACCATGTGTCTCAATACTTTTGTCCAAAGAGTGTAGCAACTACTCCAACTTGATTTTAAAATGTTTCTATCGTGACCAACCTATTGCTGCCATGCTAGCACTTCCCCAACTGTTGGAAATCCTAATACTTTTGTCACAGTGTGACATCTGCTCGAGCATAAAATAAAAATAAACCTTTCATTAGCCAGCTCCTCACATGTTCGACATCACTGTTCTTGACAACATTGGCTAAGTATAGTTACTGCCACGCATTCACAGCTGTGAAGCATGTGGAAAGAGAGTGTGCAGAGGCTTTGTTATCACTCTGCAGCTGTTTGATGTTCTCCACAGTAGATAGTAATCATTCCTCCCTCAGTCAGCCCATCGCACTGCAGCCAACTCCAAGAAGGCCACCGCCCTGTTTGAGAATGCGCTTGCACCGCACTTCTGTACTGTACATCTGCTCAGCTCCACATTACGCGTTGACTTATTTCTATAGTTGTGTCAAGATTTAAGTAGTTTGTTCACAAATCTATACATTGCATGGATGGATAGAAAGATAATTCCACTTAATATACACATTTCTTGATTAATTTTTTTACTTTTGTACTTACACTGCCCTCCATTAGCCTCTAATAAATACTTTTTTTCTAAATGGTCTATGGCCTAAATTAAAAGGGGGGAATCCAACCTTCAAATGCATTTATTCAGTGAGGGAAAAAAATACCATATAAAGAATTAACTATTTTACATCAAGGCGGCCCTGTGACCAGTGGTCAGCGTGTCTGCCTCACAGTGCAGAGGTCATGGGTTCGATCCCGGCTCCGGCCTTCCTGTGTGGAGTTTGCATGTTCTCCCCGGGCCTGCGTGGGGTTTCTCTGGGTATTCCGGTTTCCTCCCACATTCCAAAAACATGCATGGGAACCTGATTGAACAATCTAAATAGTCCCTTGGTCTGAGTGAGAGCGTGGATGGTTGTTCGTCTCTGTATGCCTTGCGATTGGCTGGCAACCAGTTTAGGGCGTCCCTCGCCTACTGCCCGGACACAGCTGGGATAGGCCCCAGCGACCCTTGTGAGGATAAAGCGGATCGGAAAATGGATGAATGGATGGCGGTATGGATATTTTACATCAATTCATGTGTGCCACAGTTATTAGCACCTCAGATGCTAATACTTTGTATAACCCCCTTTTGCTGACAAAAGAGCAAAAATTATTTTCCTGTATGTTTCACAAGATGGGAAGAACCTTCGCCTATTTGTCTTTGCATAATCTCTCTCAATCATCCAGCGACCTGGGTCTTCTCCTCTGCACTCTCCGCTTTTGCCCTTCACAAGGTTTCAATGGGGTTAAGGTCTGTGGGGACTTGGCATGAGAGGAACTTGTTCTGTGTCTGATGAACCATTTCTACAGTTTTCAGTATGAGGCTATGCTTCCGTATTAAAAATAGATTTGATTTTGAAACTTTTAACACATCTTAGTTAGTGGTGACAATAATTGAGGTCACTGATGGTACATTTTAAGTGTCTGCACTTTTCACTTTAACTTAAAAACCCTGTACCGTGAAAATAACTGACTTGTAAATGTGACACACCACTGAGAAGAGCATTGTTAACGTGCTTGCCAAATTTAATTGATTCAAAGAATTGGCAAGCAGATAAAATGTGGCTTCATGTAAGTCTCTCTGCTCTCAAATGCTTTGGGCGAGTCTGCCGAATGTTCTGAAACCACGTCCCACTCGACTGTCAATTAAATACCACAGCTCAGACTTGGAAAAATGGATGCTACTTTGTCTAGCATCTTTCTTATGCCTGCACATTATAGTAAATACATGTTTGAGAAAATAAATAAAGGGGGTGCAAAAGTAGGTACATGGTATAGGCAGGTATACAGTTAAACAAAAGAGAAAACACATACAGTACTTATTGTGTTTACTGTACAAAATAATACGAATATATTAATCATTACCTTCACAGCAATCGACTGGTTAGCACGTCTACCTCACAGTGCAGGGGTCAAAGGGTTCGATTCCGGCTCCGGCTTCCCTGTGTGGAGTTTGCATGTTCTCCCCTTGCCTTCGTGGGTTTTCTCCGGGTACTCCGGTTTCTTCCCAAATTCCCAAAACATGCGTGGCAGGTTAATGGAACACTCTAAACTGTCCCAAGGTGTGAGTGTGAGCGCGGGTGGTTGTTCGTCTATGTCTACCCTGCGGTTGGCTGGCAACGGGTTCAGGGTGTCCTTCGCCTCCTGCCCGAAGACAGCTGGGATAGGCTCCAACATGCCCTTGTGTGGATAGCGCAGATCAGGAAATGGATGGATGTTGAATTTAAAAAAAAAAAAAAAAAAGAGAAAATGTGATGACATTCTTCAGGATTTTAACTTTTTCTTGTCAACTTCTAATGCGAGCCATGTTTCTGTTGTTTAATTTGAATATGCGATGAGCAAATGAAAAACTTGCCGTATACCACAAATAGCATCAAAGACGGATTTTGCACACCTCTCCTCTATAAGGTCTTTAAATACACAAGTTGAGTTAGAACTTTCACCAATTACTTTTTAATCATTTCAAATATTTGTACTTCGACTTAAGTATAGAGGTGGAGTGCTTTTGCCACCTTTGTGTGCTGTTTGCATCAAAAGTGCAGCTGTAAAATCTAGCAACTTTTATTTTTCACCAGCCTTCTCATTTCTTGCCTTTTCCTCTCCCTCCCCAAGGACATGAGAGCTTCAACTCACGCTCCTTGGCTCTGCAGGCCCAGAAGAAGATCCTGAGCAAAATGGCGACCATGGTGGTGGCCAACATGCTCACAGACGACACCAGCAGCGAGATCTTGGATGAGCTCTACAAGACCAGTCGAGAGTTCACCAAGAGCAAGAAGGAGGCCCACAAGATCATCAAGGATGTCATCAAGATCGCGTTGAAGATTGGCATCCTGTACCGCAACCACCAGTTCAGCCCCGACGAGCTGGACACGGTGGAGCGTTTCAAGAAGAAGTTGAACCAGGCGGCCATGACAGCGGTGTCCTTCTACGAGGTGGAGTACACCTTTGACCGGAATATTCTTTCCGAGCTCCTGCTGGAATGCCGGGACCTGCTTCACATGCTGGTCGAGCAGCACCTGACGGCTCGCTCGCACGCTCGCATCAACCACGTTTTCAACCATTTTGCCCACGGCGAGTTCCTGGCCGAGCTGTACGGGGACGGAGACGAGTATAGACTGTCTCTGAGGAAGATCTGCAACGGCATCAACAAACTGCTGGACGAGGGGACGCTTTAACCTTTCACCAGTATTACGTCACGTCGCCGCATCCGACCGCTTCCTGTTCACCTTCCTCGGACTGCTTGCGTCACTTCCTCCTTACTTTCTGTCAACTTCCTGTTTCCTGCATCCGTTTCCATGGAGCTAGTTATAACATCCTGCAGCTGTGGCTCACTGAGGATTGTTTCATTCAGACCGTGTGTCCCCATGCGCACCCTCGGACAATGTGTGTTATGTATGCATTCACGGGAAGCCGTATGAGCATTCATTCCATCTCCTTGATATACAGCTAAAGGTCCATGTACTCGTATGCCCTTTGCTCTTACTCCTAAGACAATTCTGTGCACAAGCAGAATGATTGTGTCCGACTAGTAGATTTTCTAGTGCTATTTTTGGCCTCCTAGTACAGCCTAAGACTGGATATCATGGATTTACAGAAAGCTGTTTGAGCATTTACAGTGGACCAGACAAATCTGTGTGTAATTGAAATGGACTGGGAAAGAATATTAAACCCCCCTCCCCTAAAATCTTCCCAAAAGTACTCAGATAAACACTCAACATGTGTTTTCCACTAAAAATGGGGAGAAATGTATGAAACACTGATATTCAAAAATATTGGGGGGGGGGGGTTCTGCAAATACGTGAATGTGTGGCAAAACTGTGTGCTACTAGTACTACTAGTGACATCATAAAATTGTACTACAGTAGCTCTGTGCTCTATGGAAAAAATGAGCATTTCTTCCATATCCTTGGTTCCCATCTTAAGGTCCATATACTAGTACGCTATTTATTCTCACTAGTAAGACAAGTCATTGCATTAGTAGAACGACTTGTCTTGCCAGTAATATTTTTCCCCACTACTAGTGCCACTGTCATCCTACTAGTACCGTACGAAATTGAACCTTTCTATCAAATTACTGTGCTGCACAAGTAACACTAGTCGGCTCCACAAGGGGGCACATGTGCTTCCATTTAAAAGTGAGGATAGAGACTGCACTAGTATGGACCCACCACAAACACTTTATAGAAACCTGTATGAGCATTTAATAAATGTTCTTAATTTCCATTTCAAGCTCAATCTGCTGATTCAATTTTGGGGCAATTCAATGCAGTAGTAGAACCACTGTGTTGTTCGACTACTAGTAGGACAACTACATGTTACTAATGAGGAAAAACTGCACTAGTTGACCCCTATGTGATACTACTACCACTAGTAGCGAGATAAAATTCTACCAGTTGGCATCCAGCACATCACTAGTAGTACTAGCAGCATGCAGATGTAAGCTAGTGCTGAGTAACATTCAGTTGTCTGACTACTATGTTCAAGTTGTGGAACTTGGGCACATTAGTGAATAGCAGTAGTTGAAAAACATTACTAGCAAATCAGTCGTTTTACTAGTGCACCCTAGTCATTCCACTAGTGTGCTGAATTTCCTTGGACCTAAAGCTGGATAGGAAAGGTGTTGAATAAATGATCTGAGGCTTTTCATTTGCATTTCTGTGTGTGTGTGTGTGTGTGTGTGTGTGTGTGTGTGTGTGTGTGTGTGTGTGTGTGTGTGTGTGCAAAAAAATGCACCAATGGCCCAAAAAAAATTAAAGGTATATTTCAAAGATTATGGTAATCACTCGTGTGTGTGTGTGTGTGTGTGTGTGTGTGTGGTCATATGGCTTCGCATGAATCATCTGTACATAAAACCAATGACAAGTCAAATTTCTCCAGAGTGTGTCACTTGTCTTTTATTAAAAATTTCCTGTCAATGTCATCTTGTCGTTCCATCTGACAACAATAGCACAAAAATGGTCTCTTCTTGGTGTTCACTGTCAACATTGATTGATGTTTTTAGGCAGCATATCAGGGAAAAAAAAAACAATTTCCATGCCTGCTATGGTCAAATACGCTTCCAACATTAGCCATTCTTTTGCACAACACAGGCTTCAATAACTCCGCTTTTCTGCCTTTTTTTTTTTTTTTTAATATAGCTGAAATTGCATCCAAGACAGGAATTATATGGATGGATTGGATCGGGAAAATAAACCACAAATTGCACATGAGGCCACAAGTTTCCTGTTGGCTTCACAAAGATGCACGCGAGCCATGACTTTGCCGACATGCGTTTTGAAATATCATCATACAAAACATTTCTGCTTCCCGGGATGTCCTGTGGTGCTTTGGCCTGCAGACATCATGTCAGCATTGTCCCTCTCATTCTTTTATGCTAAAAGATGAAACCATCAAAATTTGCTTTGTGGTTATTCTTTATTAAAAATAGTTAAAAGATTGAAAAAAAGACTTTAAAAAAAACCCACTTTTTAGTTCAACTTGTACACTTTCCTGTGAGTCAGACTTGGACCACCAAGATACAAAACCACACAAGAGAAGAGTGATTCCAAAATGTGGAACTTGGGCTCTCGTGCTATGCAAAAGAATCACTGACTACACACAGTTCTGTTTAGTTTCACTTTTAATTTCAATACATTCGCATTTAATCTTGAAGATGTGTTTTTAAAACATTTAGGCAACATTCTGATTTAACTTTTATATGCTAAGCATTTTGATTGAATAGTTACTCAAGGGCGGGCCAAGTGGTTAGCGCATCGACCTAACAGTGCACAGGTGCACGTTTCTATTCCGGCTTCGGCCTCCCTGTGTGGAGTTTGCATGTTCTGCCCGTGCCTGCGTGGGTTTTCTCCGGGCATTCCGGTTTCCTCCCACCTTCCAAAAACATGCATTAACAGGCAGGGTAATGGAACACTCTCGACCAGGGGCGGGCAACACACCTGATTCAAATGAACAGGTTCAATATCAGGCTTCAGCAGAGCTTGCTGATGATCTGATCATTTGATTCAGGTGTGTTGCAACAGGAAGAGATGGAAAAAACCTGCAGGATGGCGGCCCTCCAGGACTGGAATTCCCCACCATTGCTTTAAATTGTCCTTATATGCGATTGTGAGCGTGAATGGTTGTTCATCTGTGATTGGCTAGCAACCAGTTCACGGTGTACCCCCGATGACAGCGTGAATAGGCTCCAGCACGCCCCCCGACCTTGGTGAGTGAGAATAAGGAGATTAGAAAATGGATGGATGGATATAAAATATGTCAAGCTATGCCCTCTAGTGGTGAGTGAACAATACTCAAGAGGACAAAGAGTATACGAGTGTACTATAACCTGGAGAGAAAGGATCTCATTAAAACCAATTTAAGAATGACTCAATAAATGCTGTTCAATTATAGAACAAAGCAAACTTCACAAACATAAACACAAAGTGCATTTGGAGTAAGGCAACGCAAGCAGCAGCTGATGTTTTCAAATGTTATGATTACAGGTGGGACTTGGGAGAAACTTGAAAGGGATGGAAATGCTGTAATGAGTCATACAAGTAGTCTTTGAAGGCTCAGATGAAGTTTGCCTTCATTTTTTTAAAACGTACTGAGGAGGAGACCTAACTATAGAAAAGTACAGAAAACAGACAAATAAATGCTGCATTACATTACTTAAAGAGACAAAAACGAATTCGTTTTTTTTTTTTTTTTACTTTCATGACCCTCCTCTGAACTTGAATGCCCATTTTAATTAATTCAATTATCGATTCTATTATTGTGTGCTGTGTAGTTGCATACCGCTGCAAAATAAAACACACTAACTCAAGTGAAATGCAGTTGGGATCCACCTCCCTATTCTCACGAAACAGAATAAACTCGACTAAGAAGGGGAAGAGTATTCTATTATTCATCAGTACATCATTCATAAATTGTGTTGGACAATGTAAAATATAATCTACTTCTGGTGACTCTGAATCGAAATTCATTTTTTTTCTATCCCCATCTATAGAATTTGTAAGTATTGCACTTTAAAAAAAACATATGGCCAAGGCAATAATTGCCAAAACAACAGATTTCAAATGCTAATTTAAATATAATGATTGCAGTTTTTCTCAATCATTGCTGTAAATTGGGAATTTCTCCATTGTGAGACAAATAAACATTTTCTTATCTTATCTTAAACCAACATTGATGATGAAACCCAGACCCAGCAGTCTATACCAGACGTTGGGTTCAGAAATCAATGTGTTTTGTTGTGTGTTGTGCGCAGAGCATCTTTTACCTAATAGATGGTTGAATAATTTAGTCCATTTTTAATCCAATGTTCTGTTAAACTGACCCAACCGCGTTGACTCAACAGTTGAGTTACAAAATATCCCTAGCATTTTCAAGCATGTTGATATCTGAAGTTTGGGGTGTGAATCCAGGCTCTGGCCCTCCTGTGTGGCGCTTTCATCTTTGCATACCTATGCAGGTTTTCGTCTGGTAGTCTGGCTTCCTCTCATCTCACATTAAAAAACATGCATTGTGGATTTACTGATGATTGTCCATCAGTGTGGATGTGAGTTGGAATGGCTGTTTGCCTGTATTCGCCCACCCAACGGCTGGCAACCGGTTCAGGGTGTGCCCCGCCTCTCGCCCAAAATCAGCTGGGATAGGCTACAGCTCGTCCAAATGAGAACATGCGATAAAGAGAATTGATGGATGGATAGTTATAAAGAAATGTAATATTACCACAATAATATCATACTTACCAGCCGTATTAAACTTCTGTACATTCATTTGAAACATAGACAATTTAAAATGCAATAATACTTTATTGGGCCTCTATGGCCCATCTCAGGTTTTATTAGCGTGCTATGTCTAATTGGCATCACACAGAGATTATGAAAGTAAACAGATCATAAAAGTGGCTTTGTAAATCTATTATGTGTGCACGGGTCTAATGGTTTGCTGGTCACTTAATTGCACTCACTGTTGACAAGCCAGTGGGCAGAGGAAAGATTTACTGCACAAGTTTGGCGCACAGAGATTGTGTGATGAGATTGGGTGACGCACATTACAGGCCAGGTCATGCACCAACACTGCAAAAGGTGATGAGCAGATGATGGACTTCAATTAGAAATTGGTGAAAATAAATATTCCATTGAAATTGTAGACATAATATATTGCACACTGATCAAACCAACATATGATTGAAAACTCCACACAAGAGCACTCAACTATGAGGCAGATGCGCGAACCGCATTTCAATCATGTTACCTATTGTTAAATGATTCCCCCCCCCCCCAATTTTGCTGCTGTAACTGCAAATTTCCCCAATGTAGGACAAATAAAGGTTATCTTATCTTATTAGTCATTAATATTAAAGGTGAGATTTTTACAGCTCTTCCACTCTAAAACATCACACATGATACAGTTAAGTATGGAAAGCCGTTTGAGCATTTTTTTGACATCCATCTTCCAGTCCAGGTTCTAGTACTCTTTTGTCCTCACTAATAACAACATTCAGGACACTTGTAGAACAACTATGGCGCACTCTAAAATGATGCGTTTTCCAGTACTGCCGTCAACTTTGGAATGACATTTCTGCACACTAGTGAGACAATTTCATATTTTTAGTGAGGTCAAAAACGAAACTAAAGATTAGCTTCTCCGAGTGGTAGTACAATGTTTTAGAAATAATAGGAGTACTAGTAGTGGTGTAGAAGTGCTACATTTGATGTTAACGAGTAGAATTTTGTAATGTCACTAGTAGTAGTAGTAGGACGCTGTTGTTGCAAAGCACTGCATTTAAATGAAACTTCTCAACTCACTTCAGCATAGTTCCTTGGCACCAAGATACCACAAAATGGTGGCAACCCACTACTGTACTTTGTTCTAACAATATTTCAGAATTTACGTCAGCGCAGTTCCTTGCCACCCACATGCCACACGGTGGTGCCAAAGTCACATTTTATTGCTTTGGCTTTAGCACAAAACCAGATTGGATGGAATTTGTTCCAAAAGACAGGATTTGTGAATTTGTAAATGTAATAAAACATGGGCAATAACTAAATGCAGAATTTCGTGGCGTTTCATTCCGAAAACATCACGTCGCGTGCAGTCGTGGCTCTGGCAGTGTGTACACTTTTTACAGTGTTCTCCTCCTCCTCCTCCTCCACAGTGAGGGGGCAGGTCCTGTTGTGCGCTGAGCTGTGTTACATCCTCCGGCCAGTGATGCTGTAGCTCACACGGGGCTTTGCTCACCCTTCCTTGCTCATCCTTCGTAGAAGCAAAGCGTTTACGTGACCTGCTTTCAGCACTCGAGCCGGCAGACAGCTCCAATTCTCTCCACGGACAAGCGGAGATCAAGTCAGCCGTTCCCCCACCGAAGGCTTCACTCAAGCGGCTAGCAATCTCGCAGACTCCGCGGCGGCGGTTGGAGACCAATCAGCCACTTTTTTTTAACTATTAGTTTAGGATGGCGCCAAAACATCTTTGCATCGTGTTCTATTTTATTGTTTTCAGTCTACTAAACCAAATATGTGCCTTTCCTACACCGACAGCATCCAGCGAGGGTGAGTTAGCCTTTGAAAGGGCATTATAACTGACTCACATTCAATGTATAGCAGAGTCTTTTCGAATTTTTACTACCAATGATAAGAGAGTTATCATAAAACACAATTACTAACTTCAGGGCAACAAACTTGAGTGACACATACTGACTTGTAACAGACTATACCACAGAATCTCTCTTAACAATAGAATAAAATACATCCTTTAGGGTGAGAAGTGCTTACAATGAACAATTGATCACTATACACTAATTCAGGCTCAGATTAGAGCCAGGTTTGTGTTTCTTTGTCGCAGTTTCCAGTAGTTCTACGTCAATTTAGGTGTAAATCTGCTCATTAAGAGAATACAGCAAATTGAGCTGCAGCTCAGCAGCAGCTGTTGAGGCCTGTGGTCTATTTTCGACTCAGTTTAATCTTTTGTTTGGTAATCCGATTAAGGTCTGACCAAGAGAGAGGTGGGAGGGAGCATCAGCTTTCCTATGTCTGGAAGCTAAAACGGAAGAAATTTCTGTTGGAAAAGAAGCTACAGATGTGGAAATATATGTAGGAGCCCACTTCAAAATGATTAGTTTTGCCAAATCCTCATTAAGATGTAAAGAAACTTAAGTGTGTATGATGTTTACTGTCTTTGGTCTATTATTGTTGCAGATAAATCTGTTTACAATCGACAGCTGACAGAAGAAAGACCACTCCAAGAGCAGGTGAGGCTTTCTTGTCTCAGACAAACAGGAATAATCAAAAACCTAATATCAAGAATGGCATTTTTTTAACAGAATGTTTGTTATTTCCACAGATCGCTGAGGCTGACAGTGTGAAGGCTGCAGTACAGTCGGCTGGTAAGAGGAAATCGTTTTGCTAATCAATTAATGAGACAGCCCGAGTTCAGGTTTCAACATTGCCAGTAAGAAAATGGCTTGTCAAGTCATGGAGAACCAAAAATGAGCTGATTGCTCGTCAAATTTCAAGGCTTTACTCAAGGGTAAGGTTACATAGGGGGTGGGACATTTTCAGTAAATATCCAAAAATGTTGTTGGTGAATTTATATGGGAAGTTAAAATGGGGAATTGGGGAAATATTTGGAGAATTAATGGGAATTGCATGTCAAAAGCGTTGGGGGAAAAAATTCATTCCAATGAAAAGCTTCCAAAATTGCATCAATTTTGAAATCTTATTCAAAGGCACCACACATGGGGGCCAAAATGATGAATGATTTTCATTTGTTCTCCCTATCAGAGCGCAAGCGACCAGCCGTCTCCGAGGAGCCAGTCGATGACTCGACTGTGCTGAAGTCATTAGACCAGAGCCACAAATTCAAGGAGACCACTGATGATGTCGAGAAGAAAGATGAGTACCTTCCAGATGAATCGGATTCCACCAAGAGTCGCCGTCTGGCTGAAGAATATGACTCGACCAAGAACGGGATGGAGCACGGCAAGTACCAAGCAGAGTACTCACATTCTGTACTTTAATACAAGTACAGGTATTTGAGTAAAAAAAAAAAAAAAAAACTCTCCTGAAAGTCATATTCGTTCATCTCATTTACTTTTGTAAAAGTAAAAAAGTACACTGTGAAACGTGCAAAAAAAAAAGTCACAATTGTTACGTTTATGTACATTACCCGTTTCAAGAACTTGGCGCAACGAAAAAAAGAACTTGCTTCAATGTCGCTGCTGTCCGTTTTTCCCAGCCCAACTGCGATTGACTTTACCTCTCTTCATTTAAATCATCAAAAAGAATAAATTCTCAAGTATCGGACTGGTGCCTGAAAAATCGATTGAAGTACTGATCAAAGCATTTATACTCATGGGCTCTACCCAAGTACAACTGAGGTTCATCCAGTCGTGATCTTGTCTGCTCGTGGGTGACCTTTGAACATTCCACGGATGAGTACCTTCCAGATGAATCGGATTCCACCAAGAGTCGCCGTCTGGCTGAAGAATATGACTCGACCAAGAACGGGATGGAGCACGGCAAGTACCAAGCAGAGTACTCACATTCTGTACTTTAATACAAGTACAGGTATTTGAGTAAAAAAAAAAAAAAAAACTCTCCTGAAAGTCATATTCGTTCATCTCATTTACTTTTGTAAAAGTAAAAAAGTACACTGTGAAACGTGCAAAAAAAAAAGTCACAATTGTTACGTTTATGTACATTACCCGTTTCAAGAACTTGGCGCAACGAAAAAAAGAACTTGCTTCAATGTCGCTGCTGTCCGTTTTTCCCAGCCCAACTGCGATTGACTTTACCTCTCTTCATTTAAATCATCAAAAAGAATAAATTCTCAAGTATCGGACTGGTGCCTGAAAAATCGATTGAAGTACTGATCAAAGCATTTATACTCATGGGCTCTACCCAAGTACAACTGAGGTTCATCCAGTCGTGATCTTGTCTGCTCGTGGGTGACCTTTGAACATTCCACGTGCATCTGCAGGCAGACATGAAAGAGAACACGTGGATGTCAGTGGGATTATCTCCCAATGCTCTTGTGCCAGCCCTCAAAAGCACTCGCTTTAAAATCTCTCTTCTTTATTTTTTTTTAATACCACGCCTTGAAAAGACTCCACAAAAATCAAAATTTTACCAATCTGGATTAGAACTGTTTTGGATTATTATAGTGAATTTTTTTTTTAGTTTTTACTTTTTCTTTTAAATTCAGTTAGTTTTGATGAGCTTGCATTTTTTGTTTTCTTAGTTGTATATATTTGGAGTATCTGTCGAGTGTGAGAAAAAAACAACAACAAAAAAACCTAATTATCATGGATTATGCTTAGTGTATTATGCAATAAAATAATGCAAAATTCCAACTCTCCAAAAACTGACCTTTGTTCTTCTGTAGCTACAGATATACAGCAATACCAAATGGAGTACATTTAAAATGAACCGTGAAAGCATGTACTGTATATGATAATTACTAACAAAGATGAAAACGAAGAACATCTTTGCTATCATTAGTTTGATAAACGAAAGAAGTAGTTTCAGTTTGTTTTTAATTTGTTTCAAATCAATTGTATTTTTATTTTATTTTGTTAACAAAACTGTTTTTTCTTAACTAAAATAGACTTGCTACTTATTATTACTTTCTATTCTTCTCTTCATACAAGCATATCTCTGTGCTATTGTATTCAATTAAATTGTTTCATTCAACCTCCTCAAGGTTCCAAAAATATGCAGTTAAAATAAAGAAAATAAAAAAACGAAGAGGAGATACGCCAATAAAACAGACCAAAATCCAGATATCAGGATGTGAACGAGGGTGAGACTAAGATAAGATAAGATAAGATAAGAAAACCTTGATTAGTCTCGCAATGGAGAAATTCCCACTAGTTGTGGTTTCAGCCAGTGGTCCCCAAGCTTTTTTCTACCAGGGAACAGTTAATGGTAATACAATTTTTTTTGTCACTGACTATTTCAAAACCATTCATTGATGATTGTTGCTGACAGGAATTCCTGATTAGAAACTGATTGCAAGTGGGGTGCGGCAGTGTTGTTGTATACTTCCAAACAGAGCAGAGGTTAATAAAGTTTACGAACATAAATGAAATAACAAAAACTATTGCTCTTCTACTTTTAACTCAACCCGAAACGTGACGCTAAGTGACAAGTATTCTCCTTTTTTGTTTCATATATATTAAAAAATGGTACACAGTTCAACCGGGTTTAAGTTTCCATCCTTAACTACAATGAAAAATTCCCAACTATTAGATCCATAATCAGAACATACACAGGTATGCTCAGCTACAAGGGAAAAAAAAGTCTTTTGCAGTCCAGTGGTACAGTTCAGTCCCAAATGGTTCACGTACCGGTATGGGGGACGACTGCTTTAACCAAATGCAAGAGTGTAGAAATAAGCCTAATGTTGAGATTTAAAATTTTTTGAAAAAATCAGAAAAGAAAGTAAATCTATTTTTATGGTGCAAAATGCCTCCTGAAGTACTATAAAATAACACATGACAGTGTCTTAAAAATGAGGCTGTAAAAACATAATGTAAAAAACACATTTGCCAGATGATTGTAGGAGGATTCCAGTCCAGCTAAAAAAAGCACATAGTAAATGCTTGTGACATCAGATTTCATCAAGGGATAAAACTTCATAAAATACAAACGTCCCGACATATGATTCAGTGCAATAGAATCTCTGAAGTGCGATGACTCAGACACAAATGAATTCCTGCATATTGCCCAGCATCTGTGAGCTTCTCTTCAGCTTCTGTTACATCACAATACAGCAAAGTACACTTTGGATGTTCTTTTTTTTTGTTCCTCGGACAAAAGTGCGACAACAATAGCTTGAAGATGATCCATTAAGTCAGCACACGTTTGCTCTTTGTGGGAGGCATGGGAGTGATAAAAGAGTTGAGCTGTATGAATAACATCTCTCTTCTAAGCAAGAGGAAGAAAATATCCATGCGGTGGTAAAGTACTGGGACATTGGCCAAAACACCTACTTGAAGTAAAAATGGAAGAAAATCTGAACAATGTTGCAATTCACTGTTCATGTTTTCTGATCTAGTCTCATTTATTTGCTCACTCATTTGTAATTTTTGTACTCAGGCCATAGTCCTATCTAATATAAAAAGTACATGGCACAAAAGAAGCTAACTATTATGAGTTGAAGGCAGAGACAGGCTATATTTTATTAAATTATGAAATTATATCTTATATATTGTAAATGTAGAACTTTCCCACCATCACACTGCATATTTTTTTTATTGGCCCACCACATCTTCTAATAATAAAATTAAACATGGTCAGCGTCACAAGGTTACGAGAAAAAGTTGTCAAAGAAAGATGTTGAAAGATAGCACTCTGTTTTTTAAATTTGTCAAAATGTAACTGAAGTTAAATGATGTTAAAAAAAAGTGGTTACCACATCTGCCTCACAGTCACTTAGGTTTGGGGCTCATATCAAGGTTCAGGGAATTAAGGCAAGGCAAGACATTAAATGTAAACTCAGTAATTGTAGAATTTGTATCGTAACAAACTCACTGCAATTATCAACCCAAGCCTCCTCTCTGAACAGGAGAGAAGGTGGGGAAAGAGAGATGAGAAGCGGCAGCAAAACAGACCAAAATCCAGCTCAATGTATGGCTGGGCAAGGCACTCACTGAATACTTGGTGTGGTTGAGCCCAATGCGAGTGTAGAAATATTTTTTTTTGTCTAGATTTAAATATATGTAAGCGTAATGAACTGGTTTTAGTATGTTTTATAAACAAGGTGAAGTGGGCCCATGTTTTCCTTCCATTTTTTTCCATTTGTGGCCCTCAGTGGAAAAAGTCCACTCCTGATTGCTAAATTAATTGAAGGTCGTTGAGGATGGCTGGAAGACGACGGTTATGAATCAGCTGCAGTGTGTTCTGTCAAATGAACGCAGTGCGACACAATTAGCTAACACAAATGATGTCCCTTCCCCTCTCAGATGAGACAGACACGTTCCGTCAGGTGGATGGCACTCCATTGACAGCCGAAGACATCGTTCAGAAGATCGCAAACAAGATCTACGAGGAGGACGACAGGGGCGTCTTTGACCGGATTGTGTCCAAGCTGCTCAAACTGGGTCTGGTAGGTTTGACCATAATAGACACCACATACACATCATGAGGCTTGAACTTTCTCTTTTGCAGCAACAGCGGTAGGATGTAATCAAGTACAAATATGTCGCTTCTATCATTTAGTGGATTCTCAGATACAGCAGTGACTTGCGATATGACTGACCCGTCTGTATTTAACTGCCGCCAAGTGGCCAAGGTCCACATACCAGAAGGAACAGCACAATGTTCATTGAAGTGAAGCAAAATGAGTGACAGCTTACAGCTTAATTCTTTCGATTTCATTTAATAGTGCCATTGCTCTGTTTTTATGAAGTACACTATTATAAAGTGCGATTTTGCTTCTTCAGAACACATTACAAAAATAGTATTGTTTTTTTGGACGGAGGCTAGAATGGATTCATGGCATTTCTGTTCATTTCAATAGATACGATGATTCTGACTGTTCTTTTTACGTTTACTCCCTTTGTAAACAGAGGTCGCGACTACTTTGTAGTCGGGCCGACCGATTATCAGCCACCGGTTTAATCCGCTTCTATTAGCTCTTTTTAAATCGGTACATATAGGCCTAGTTTTTTTTCTTTTTCTCTACTTTTTTTCACTTCCTAACACAGGCAAAAATTCCCTTCCATCCTCCCAATTTTTTTTCTCTCTGTTGTAAAGTTAAGTGAATACCCAAGGACAAAGTATTGTAAAACAGCCAAATCTTCAGTTTGTAATTCATACTTGTAAGCATTAAGGGACCAAAAAATGTATTTTTTTTTAAATCTTTTCAAATAAATCGGTGATCAGTATTTTATTCTGCCAAATATAGCTTAAAAAAATCAAGATAGGTGGGACCCTGCTTTCTATACACTTTACCTGTGAGGTAGATGGATTATCTCAGCAAACAAGAAGTGCTCCCTAAAACAGATTTGTACAGATTAGCGAACAATATTTGAGAAAAAGAGACCTTACAATGTATACATAGAAAAAGTCTTACGGCTTTAACCCTTTCAGGGACAGCGTGGACGGCAGTGGACAGCTTTTCATGTTATCAGGTTACAGGCTGCATGAAAGGGTTAAATTCAGCTCATGAAAATGCAGTAAAATAAGATGTGTGAATTGGATTTTGTTCACCTGTGTATTACTGTTATGACACCTCAAGTCCTCTGTTTCTCTCAGTCGGCCTTTCACTTGCATGGATCAATGTTACACAATCTATAGTTGCGTTCAGTCTTGCTGCTTGTTTTCTCGTTAGATAACGGAAAGTCAGGCTGACACACTGGAGTATCAGGTGGCCGAGGCCCTGCAGGATCTCATTACCAAAAATGCCAAAAACGAGATCGAGGACAGCAATGAAGGGGAAGTCACGGGTGTGCAGGACACACAGGCAGCAAACTCGGTAATCGTTAATTCACAATTAAGAAGTGAATGCGGTATGATTTAGTTGATTTCAATTAATATTTTTTTGAAAATGCTCTATGCATCAGCAGGATAAATGGGAGCAGCCCAGGAGGCGCTACGATGACGAGGAGGAAGAGGAGGATGATGAGGTTACGGATGATGTGGATAGGGATGCTGAAGACGACGACGAGACGCTAGTGAACACTTGGGACAAAGACGGCGCCGAGGATGACAACGAAGTGAACCCAGAAGACGGCCTTCAAGATCTCCAGTACTTTCCCAATTTCTACCGTCTGCTCAGGAGCCTCAATTCCGGTGAGCACAAAGGGTCATTTTACATCAAACACACACACACACACACACACACACACACACACACACACACACACACACACACACACACACACACACACACACTGCCTCCAAGCCAGGACAAAGACCTGGACATGTTGTTGCCATGGCAATGATGTGTTCTGGGATGAGTCACTGTTTAGTCTGCCCTTGTAAATTGTCATCTAGGTACACACACACACACACACACACACACACACACACAAACAGCCCTAATTATTCATAATCCCATCATCCAGACCCCTGCAGCCAAACACCACATTACAATACCGACACTATGGCAACCTGTTACTGCCAACGCACGACAATGTATCTCCTCTGTGCAGAGGTGGCAAAGGTACTCACATTCTGTACTCACATTCTGTACTTAAGTAAATGTACAAGTGAGGACTGATTCATCTCCTTTACTTGAGTAAAAGTAATCAAGCACTGTATTGTGTCAGTCGGTTTATACAGAATTATCAAAATAACATGCATAAAGTGCATCCAGGAAAATAATTCACACACAATTGAAATGCTCTCATTCACACCAGTGAGTTTAAAAGAAATAAATACATAATCAAGTCAAATCGACTTCACTACAATAATTGGTTACTGCCCATCACTGCTCCTGATTGCTTCGTGATTACGTCAGATCAAGACGCTCAGGAAAGAGAGACGCTCATCACCATCATGAAGACGCTGATTGACTTTGTGAAGATGATGGTCAAGTACGGCACCATCACACCCGAGGAGGGCGTCTCCTATCTGGGTAAGACCACTTTACTGAAACAATAATTACTGGGGAAGCCTTGGAACAAAAGAAAAACATCTTTACCGTTAATGCAGATTATTTGTTGCCAGTAATTGACTATACAACTCTATAAATTTACATTATACCCCTTTAAGTTATTATTAAAAATATTACATGATCCAGTAAAAGGAAAGGTTTTATATGTTCTTGTCCTTTCACCATATTTTGTTTGGTTTGCATTTTTCTGCTTTTTGTGTGTGTTAAGACGCTTTCCCTTATGAGTCGGTGCAGCTGAGGGTAAAACTTGAAGTGACAGATTAGTGTCAAGGGTTTAATCAATAGCCAACCTGCTTTTATGGCTCATCATCACGTTTCTTCTTCCTCAAACTTTCTTTTTTAATTTTGTTTCAGTCATTTGTCTTTTTTATTTAAGACGAACATGAAATTGTAATGTGAAAATGTTGTCAACACAAACAACAAAAAAGGAAACCATGTTTTGATGAACTGTAACACAAAAAAAAGATCAGAAAGAAAAAAACGAAATAATAATAATTTGAATTTTAATGATAAATAAATTAATCTCTTAATTTATAAATTAATAATTGAATCACTTAAAACTGACCTGTTTTCATTTTAGAAGGATGTGACTGCATGAGCATATGTATGTGTGAGACTGAATGTGCGCGAGTGTGCGTGAATGTATGATGTGATGTGCGAGAGTGTGCAGGCATATTTGAGTGTGTGTGACAGTTTTGTGTGAGCATGTGTGAATGCATGTAAGTGTGTGTGCGAGTGTGTTTATGGTCCAGTCTAATGTAGAGTGATAATGTTGTGTTACTGTAAAGGGAATTTGGCCAGCAGACAACTCAGGGAATTATGTGAGTTAAAAAAAAAAAAAATCAATAGACTCATTTGACGGGCTGAGGATTTATCTTGTTGTTAAGTGAGCATGAAAAGTTCTCCAGAAGTAGATCTCTCAGGTTGTTCATCATCACAACACAGAAATACACGGAGGCCGAACCTGAGGAGCAGCTGGCCATTAATGACCATGTAGAGCCGAACAAAACAGCCATTACACATGATGGGAGTTTCCATGGCAACCTGATGGCCTTGGCCATATGGTTGTCATAGGTTGGTACTGGGGATAATTGCTAAGTATTTCACAATCACCTAGCAACATGTTAACTCAAGCTGCCCTCGCCCCCAGCTGACCTCGTTTCTCATGGAGTCAGCGAGGTGCATCACCCACTGAGCACCCAGAAAAAAAAAAAAAATAATAATCTTTTTTTTTTTTTAATAAGAGAGAAGACGCAAAACACACAGAGGAAGAAAAAGCAATGTCTTTGTGTGTTAGGCTGAGGAGGAGAATGTTAAAAAAATAAATAGATAATTCACACGACAGGTGGTCGTGGGCGGTGTGAATGCAAACGCAACTTGCTAAGAGAATGTGAGATCGGAAGAAGTAGTAGTAAATTGTCTCACGTCTTTATGCAAAATAAGAGGAACATTAACCTACATTTACTGTGCCTTTGTGGAGGAGTGACTCAAGCAGGAAAATTAAGATTGTGCTTTAAATGCACTTATCAAAGAACTTTGAATTAAAAAAAAAAAAGCACCAACGTGAATAGCAAAAATGTAAACCACTGCAACTCTATGCGCAGTTTGAATTTTAACACTGTGCTTCATGTATACGAAAATCAAAAACTGTATTTCAATATAATTCTGTTTTTAAATTTTATCAAAGTATCGTATGGACAAGTTACATAAATATTATGCCAAAATAATTTTTGAAAACCAACCATCATAAAAGACTGGACTTGAAAATGCACTGTACTGGATTAAAAAAAAAATCAAGCTTCTATAACATTATGCACAGTTACAGTTAGGTTATTTCAGTATTTCAGTTATTTTTCAGATTTTTTTTTTTTTTTCCATGTAGTAGTAGAGGGAGCCTGCTAGGCTCTAACTTACCGGTGTCAAACTCAAGGCCCGAGGGCTAGATCCGGCCTGCCACATCATTTTATGTAGATTGCGGAAACAAATCATGTGTTAACTTCCATGATCGATGCTGAAATCTAGTAAATTGTCTTGGGTAATAAATAACATTTTGCAATATTTTGTTATCATGTTTACACCCACTTTGACCATAATTGAACAAGCTATTATAGTTGATTGATTTCAAAACTAGTAATCCATCAATCTGTTGTGCGCGATTAATAATATGATTAGACGATTTATTTTGTTTCACTGTCATAATGGCCCTCTGAATGAAGATGTAACTCCAAAGGGGCTTGAGGAAAAAAAAGGAGTTTGACACCCCTACTCTAATTCATTGGGGGATGAGTGAGGTGTCATCATGCAATTTTCTTTTCTCTCGCCTGTAGAAAACCTGGACGCTATGATTGCGATGCAGACCAAGAACAAGCTCGGAAAGGCTCTCGGACCGCCAGACTTTACAGGACCTAACGGTAAATAAACGTCCAAATTTGTCAGAGGCCATCCATTAGTTGCTGGTTAGATTGTTGGTGTTACCAAGTTTGAAATCTGGGCCTGTTTAAATGAACACAAAGCTGATATTGTGTTGCATGAATAGCAGTGGCGGCGTGGTGGTCGACTGGTTAAGCGTGTCGGCCTCACAATGCGGTGCAGGGTTCGATTCCGGCTCCGGCCTTCCTGTGTGTAGTTTGCAGGTTCTCCCCGTGCCTGTGTGGGTTTTCTCCGGGTACTCCGGTTTCCTCCCACATTCCAAAAACATGCATGTCAGGTTAATGGAACACTCCAAATTGGCCCTCAGTGTAAGTGTGAGCGTGAATGGTTGTTCGTCTATGGGTGCCCTGCGTTTGGCTAACAACCAGTTTAGGGTGTCCCCCACCTACTGCCCGAAGACAGCTGGGATAGGCCAAGTGTATACAGCATTTTGTCATGCCTAAATTGACAGGATAGTTAACTCGAACAAAGCCTGGGGGTTAAATGAGTGTTGTGTTTTTGGGCAGTGGGAAAGAATTTGGATGAGGATGACAACACCAAGGCCGAGACTGCCAAGATGCAGAAGGAGTATGAGGGCCTGAAGGACTCCACCAAGCAGGATCAGCCATCAACCAGTCAGTCCACAAAGCAGCTGAGAACAGAATGCACATTGTCTTCAGACTTTAGATGTGAACCCGTATAGCTATTGAAACCATTGGCTTTTTTCGTTATTTATGCAAAATAACGTCATTCTTAATGGTATGTTTTAACTCTTTACATCGTGTTCAAGACGAACTGGACTCGGTTTGACATTTGACAGAAATAAAAATCCACTAATTGTCATTTCTTCACCCTGAAATTGGATGACTTTTACTCAGCCAAAGTACCCAAATATTTGAAATATATAATTCTTTTGTACAGGTCCTACAAAGTTTGTGTGCACTGAGGTTGTTTCAGATTATATTTGACCCGTATCTATTACAATTGATTTTGGACTTAACATGTTGTGTTAAATCAAGGAAAAGGTTGGGAATCCTGAAACTGCACGTGCCACAAATTATGTGCATGCATTCTTTTATGGGACAGTGGTAACTGTTCAAAAAGGAGTTTACAACAATAACAAGAACTGTCTGCGTTGCCATCACATTTGAACAGATTCCTGCAGAAACATGTACTTGTTGATCTCTGGAGGGTAAAGGAGGGGAATCTCAAAACAGTAAAAGAGGAAAACAGCATGCAATTGTCATCCAAACGAAACAGCAGTCAGAGGTTCACAAACTGTACATCTGAAAAATAGAGACTTGCCTTTTCTCTGAAGCATTAAGGATTAAGCAACAACTTCTTTTTGTCCAACGGGCTCTTCATAGATTTTAAAAATATCTGTCGATCATAATTTGATGTTGACAATTGAGGATATTCTTGGCCCAGAGCAAACTACACTATGAGTGCATGGAAAATCAACAATACGTAAAAAGACATGCATATTCTACTTTAACTGTAACTACCTGGAAATGACGTCATTTCAGTCAAACAGAATATCTCCTTTTCTTTCCGCTCGGCAGAGCCAGAGCAGTCGATAAATAAATAAATAAGACCGTACAGCCCAGCCAATCATAGCACAGTATCTGTGTTTGGCCCAGAACTAGGCCAGTCCAATAAGAGACGGCCAAAAGTCTAATCACAGTCGCCAATATTTGCTGTCCCTCAATGCTGCACTGTACTCGCTCAATAGTAAAACAGGATTATGCTGTGCAGTAAATATCAGATGAAAAGCATTTCTCTTTGTTCAATTGGGAACATGTCCGTGACAACTTCATTGATCAACACAGTTTCTGTACATTAGGACATGGTATTTTTGACGAGCAAAAGCAAGACTTTAGATTGGCCTCTTTTGCTCATGATCAACAGATCGGCCTGGCAAGTCCGAGACGTATCTGGAGGCCATCAGAAAGAACATCGAGTGGCTGAAGAAGCACAACAAGGAAGAAGGCAAAAACGGTGAGTTGTATAAAGGGTCTCATGTGGGCGGCCCGTCAATCCCGAGAGTTGCGGCGGGTCACAAGCAGGTCAAAGGCACAGAAGAGCTCAAACCTGTAAAACCCTTTTTGTTGTCCCTAATCTGCATTTGAAATGAGCGCTGGAGGGATACTTGACGAGACGCTTGCGCCACAGCTAATGAATATAAACTCTTGATGAGTTTGTCCCAATTCCGGCTTTTTCGACTGTCTTGTTCAGAAACAAAGGTCTATTCAGTAAACTCCTCCTACTTGTTCCTCTACATTAATGATGTGTGTCACTCCACGGACAAAGGTCTTGGGACACATCTTTTAATCACCTAAATTCCCTGTAAAGTGAAACCACACACTGTACACAGTATCTTCTACATTTGACACACTGCAAAGAACTGTTGTTAAAAAGGCTGCAAAATTTGAATGATTTAAAAAAAAAAAAAAATCAAGTACATAAAATGAGGTGTCAAAATCATGAAACGCTTTGAGAAGCATATTTTCTTTAATTTTCACCCATCCTGACAGTGCAATCATGTTAGGGTGCCCTACTCTTGAGTCTAAACTGCATACATTTAAAATGCACACAAGAAAGTGGAAAACAACGATGAAACTAAATTGAACTTTCCACTTGAACAAAGAGGAAACTGTCTTTTTCTTCAAAGATCTATTATTTCTGTTATCTGGCAAAGGCTGTTGTTTCTTTGGTAGTGACTGTTGATCTTGAAAACTAATTGGCACACAGAAGTCCCCCTGCTGCTGTAAAAATCAATGCCCAGCGGTATTTCATTTGGCAGCAGGAAATGAAATGTTAATGAGCTCAAGCTGTGCAGGCCACAAACAGTAGAATGTGAAAGCTGCATGAAAATGGGATTTTACTGTGGCCGCTACGTGGCTTTATTCAGCGTGTGAGGAGAAGCAGGTGCTGTCCAACAAAAAGCCAGGGTACCTTTTAAAAGAAACAAAATTTGACAAGCCTTTATTTACAGGACGTTCAAAGGCCGGCAGGAAGGTTTTATCTGTGGATCATCTTTGAGCTTGTATGTGGGACAACTCATTAGTATTCTAGTGTGGGATGGTTGTCTGGGACAACAGCCGCCTCCCCGCCTGCCTGTCTACCGTTCGGCCAAAGAAGACACACAATTGATAATAGGAGAAAATACACTGAACACATTCACAGTTAAAGAGTACATCCAGTTTTCTCAAAGTGGTGCAATCACTCATCATGTCAACCTATAAAAAGCAGTTTCAAGGATTTATTCCAATATCCTTGTTATCCATCTTGTGGTGTACAGTCTAGTAGAGCAGTGTCTTGACATACGAGTGACCCAACTTCAAGATATGAACGGCAATTTGGTCAATTGTTTTGCTTTGACTCATGACCCAAAATTCGAGATACAAGCGCTGTGCCGTGGCAGCGAATTCAACTCATCTCATTTCACAAGCAGCTGCAGTTTGGCAAATAGTAAACAGTTCTTCGAAAAGGGAGACTTCAAGCTGTTTGTCGCCACTCCCATTTTAAAATGACTGTCAAACTAAACACACAACTCAGAAAATTAAACGTGTATTTCAAACAAATAAATAACAAATAACTTTTCCTTAAAGTTTGGTTGCTTAGTGCTAACACATAAAACGGGTAACAAATAGCAGCAATGTGGCCATGTTATGAAACACAAATAGTGGAGTAACACATGTAGAAAGCCAACATAAACATACATGTTTTTTACCCCCAACATTCTAGAATAAGCGAGGATATACTGCCTATAATCATTCTACATGAAAAGCGGGAGTTGGTTCCATATATATCTATTTCTATATCTATGTTAAGGAGTAGAATTTTATGTCAAGAGTAGTACTAGAAGCGTGTATTAGTTTGCTAGTGCAATTTTGCCCCAAAGGGGGTACACAAGTCCAACCTGAGGGATATCATATAAATACGTCGAAAGGCTGAGGTCATAAGACAAGTAAGGCAAGTGTACCTAATTAAGTGTCCAGTAATTATATTGAATGTTCTCTGTTGTCGGAAAAGAAGAGCAGACGGAAAGCAAAGGTCTCCTTGACCTCAGCCAGTGTCATAGAAACAGAGTTAAGTGACCATTTATTGTGTTCACTCCATCAGACGCACCCATTAGGACAATCTCAGCTGGCAGGTTGTTTGGAAATGTGTACGCGTGTGTGCATGCATGCGTGCGTGTGTTTGTTTACGCCTACACATCACACAGATTAGGCAGAAGAGCAGATGGACGCACAGGCCACATACTGCTGTTGGATCTTGGCTCCGCACAGTCAAGATTGAAAGAATCTAATCATGTTGTATTTAAATCCCTGACACACGTCATGTTTGTTATCAGCAAACAGTGTCCTGGCAACTGCATCGTGAATGGAGGCGCGTCATTAACAGGGGTTTTCCTTCTTGAAATTCATTACTTTGTAGGTCATCTGGCCCTTTAATTAGTGACATAACATTGTTTGTTTTATTCCTAGGACTGATAACAATCAGCTCATTTCTGAAGCTAACCTGTTACGGCTGTGACAATATGGGGATGAATAAAAGGGCAAGGGAAATTAAAACTACAAGGGTAAAAGATATGTTCAGAATCAGTAGGAATTGATTGACCTGTTTAAATTACACTCTCTCTCTCTCTCTCTCTCTCTCTCTCTCTCTCTCTCTCTCTCTCTCTCTCTCTTTCTCTCTCTCTCTCTCTCTCTCTCTCTCTATGTATATTTATGGGTCATTTGAGAATTGTAGAGTACTTAAGGCACCAAAAAAATGATCCCTTATTTGACAATCTTGGATGTATTCAGGAAAACCATGCAATATAAACCATCATAAAAATTGAATTGTAAAGCTCAGTCATCAAGGGCAAACACTTTTATATTTTATTTGTCAGATCATATTATGCTGTGTTTGGTGCAACGCTGTTACGGATACTCAGGCATCTGAAAAAAACATGTTAAAAATGTGCAGAATATTATCCTTTACAATTAAATACCGATACATTTAATGAGCAGACTGATTTAATTTTAGGAGTGTTGGAATTATAAACGCAGGGTTCCCCATCAATGCCAATGACTCAGGAGTACATGCTAGCTTTGTTAACTGTTATGCTCACTGGTCAAGAACAAATGTAGTGATATAATTAGTTTTTACTTTTGAAAAAAAATATGAAGAAAAGAGTTAGTTTGGGGTTTACCAGTGGTCAAAGCTATTAGCTTGATGATGTCATTATGACTGAGCTCACGTTTTTTTCCCTCTTCTTCCTGATGGCTAAAAGGTTTTAGAAACCATGTTACATGCAAGTTGAGAAAGATGTCAAAAAAAGTCATACAAATAAAGCTGATTTAACCCTTATTTCGTATGTTATACTTGATTTGTAAGTTGGTCATGAAGAGGGAGGGACAAAATAAAACACTTCTATTGGGTGCTTAAGAGCTATCTGGTCATTAAAAGTACAATGTATATTTTGAAATCAATTTTACTAGAGCTACTGCTGCAGTTTTTTTGCTTCAGGAAAACTATAATTTATACTCGTGCATGTTTCTGTATTTTGCACACTGGTTATTGGTATTTCTCAGGCAGGATAGAAAATGTTCTTTGATTCTAGAGTAACCCTACTAGCGAGAAGTCTAACATCTGCTTTAGGCTCCCATATGTTTCGTTTTGCCACCGCACATGCTTAGACTGACCTCAATCCCTTGTAATGATAAATACAGCACAGATTACATCTTGTTTGGGTGTCGTAATGACTGACCTATCCTCCATACATGTCCCTGTGAGTTTTCCATCTCTGCTCAGTGGCCATAGATCCACTCATTAGCCACAACATGAGGTGCACCTGCCCAGAACAACAGTCCATCAAGTCGGCCTGTACTAAGATGATAATGCTGTGTTTGATACTCAGTTACATACGATAAAGGCCAATTCATTGCTTTCAAATATGCTCTTCTAAAACCAATTGACTTTTGGAATTGTTCATCATTGTGGGCTCACTATTTGACAAGCTACCGTTAACATCTCTTCTGGGAAATCTGTGATGATATAATGACTGGCAAAAGGCAACAATTGAGCCTTAAAGACATTATTAAGCAAAGGTGCAAAGCAGTAGGATCCCTTGTTAATGTATTCTAACAAACCTATTGTCGAAATGGAAAAGAAATTTGAAGATGGTTCATTTTTAAGGAATAAGTATCTCTGAACACAAAACTTTTAGATAGATACTAACTACTACTCAATCATTTTTGACAATTTCAACAAGTATACCATTAATTTTCAAACTCCCACTGAAATTAGTTCCATTTAATTATTATATATAGTTTCTGATTGATGCACTTCATCATACTGAGAATTGTTGACCCTCTCATCGAAGCCAAATAAGGTAATGCGATCACTGTGTTGTGTTTGTGTGCCAGACTATGACCTGTCCAAACTGAAGGACTTCATGGACCAGCAGGTTGACTCTTACATCGAGAAGGGCATCATAGCCAGAGACGAGGGGGACACCATCAAAAGGATCTACAGCAGCCTGTGACATCCTCCTCTATCCTCTAGAACTGAATCAAGATACTAAGAGAACATTCATTTCTTACTTACACTTGATCCCCATGGCATGGTAAAGTGTATTCATAATAACTGCTTACTTTCTCATACATGCTACAACCACGTTGAGGGAAAGGATGTAATAAAACTATGAAACAAGGCACTAAAATAATTTCATCAATATTTCCACCGCAAGATTGAAGAGTAATAATCCCCAGCTTTGTCATTTCTATTCTATTTTTAAGACAACATATACTGTACAGCGCTGAAAAATATTAGGAGACAAATAGCTTATAATTTTGCAGTGATCTTTTAATTCTATCTATCTATCTATCTATCGATCTATATCTATCTATCTATCTATCGATCTATCTATCTATCTGGCTAGCTATTAGTGCTGTGTAGCAATGACCATGATCTAAATAATCAAACAATTTTCCGGAAAGAATCACATTTTTCTACTTCTATTTTCTACAAAGCTTGTTACAGCTATTCACTCAAGTAAAACATGCAGTTAATGTGCAATCATCAAACAGAAAGCATATTTGGAGTCAAAGGCTGTTCGGAGAACTTTCTTTGAACCTTGATTGCAATTCTGTCAAATATAACCGTTGAAGAAAACAATCAAAACTGACTCATTTTACAGCCATCTTTCTTCTATTCTTCCCACAAAAACAATTTCAAAACGCCTAATTTACAGGTTTAGTCCTGTTCATGAGCACCACGCTCCAGCTGTGTTGATTTGCGAGGCCCTGTGGAGGTTATTTGAGCAGGGTATTTTGCTCCGCGATAATCGAGCAAAGACATACAATTTATATGGTATTTGAATTTGGCTTTGCAACGTACGCAAGTTACTTTAGATTTATGCAACAAGTGTCACACAAGTAAAACTAAGTAAAACTACCTATCGCGTGGGTATGTCCACCTTTGTGTCAGTGACTCCTCTAAATTTGGCTGCATGTGAACAGAGATTATAGGCCGCCAAATAAAACTGCGATCAACTGAGTTTTTTTTTTTGTAATGCTGAAACTAACTTAAATTAATTCTTTAACTCTGACAGCCCTAATATATATATATATATATATATATATATACACACACACACACACACACACACACACACACACACACACACACACACACACACACACACACACATCTGCGTATGTCCCGCTTTTTTTCTGTTTTTGCTGTATATGTGACATTTTATTCTCTTCCTGCTTTTCATTAACAAAAATATATTTGTGCATTAAAATTTTGTTAACTGCTGTAATAACTCTGGAGCCCACAACGAGGCAGTGCACCAATCATTCCTCTTCACGGGTCTGTAAATTAACATTTTCATCCAAGGTGACACACAAGATGAGGTATTTCAAACTGTAAATATGTGACATTTCCCTTTTCTGTGTGACAGCAATTAAAACACAGTCTTTTCTTTGCAAGTGTGCTTAATAGGCCCAATAACGCAATAATGGTAATATAAATTTACTCAAAATATTACACATGCAAGGACATGCATTGTGATGACAACACATCAGGTTTGAATACACTGCACAAAAATATAAATGCAACACTTTTGTTTTTGCTCCCATTTTACATGAGCTGAACTCAAATGCTTCACAAATCTGCCGAAATCTAAGTTTGATGAGCACTTTTCCTTTGCCGAGATCCAGCTCACTGGTGTGCCACATGACAGTTGATGAGATAGCATGATTATTGCACAGGTATGCCTTAGGCTGCCCACGGTAAAAGGTCACTCAAAAATGTGCAATTTTATAACACAGCCAAAAGTCACTTTTGGGAGAGCCCCATCGCTCTAACATAAGCTGTCTCCAGTTTGTCATCATAGCAGAAGCAGACTTGAGTGGACAAATGGTCACAATCGACGTCTGCCACTTTGCAGAGGCACTCTCTTCACAGTCCCAATTTTGACTCGACCAGGCAGATGAGGCAGATGGTAGACAGCATGTACGGCATTGTGTGGCTGAGTGATTTGCTGTCAACATTGTGACACCACTGCTCCACCTCCCCCCCCCCCCCCAATGCCCCAAATAAATTACAATTGCAACATTTACCTCTGTCAGCCACGGCATTCTTTATTCATGCCATAAACTGTGCACAATCGCAACACACACTTTCTTCTAACATCACCATCGGCAAGGATCTGTTCATCATTACAGTAGTTTCCAAACCTGAATTTCACAGAAAAGGGGCCAGACACTCTACAGGACATACCCATTAAAAATGCACTTGAAATGTATACATTGTGGCAGTAAACGCTTGGCTTCCGGTTGACAGTTAACTTGACTGTGCAGTTTATTGTGGGCACCTCAAGGCTTCCCTATGCAATAACCATGCTGGCTAATTATCATCTTGATTCGCCATACCTGTGACGTGGACAGATTATATCGGCAAAGAAGAAGTGCTCACACAGATATAGACAGATTTGTGAACAATATTTGAGAGAAATATTTGATGTGTGTGTTTTTGTTTATATATGTAAAAAAAAACAATAATTTAAACCCCGAAAACTCAGCTGTTTGAGTTCAGCTCATGAGCAACATGAGCAAAAAGAAAGGATTGCAATTAGATTTTTGTTCAGCGTACATCTTTATTCTGGCCAAACAATAAAAAATAAAATATTGAAGCACATAAAAACATCTCCACACACATAACACACTCCAAAAATAGAGGCTTCCCTTTTGATCTTGAGGAAAATGCTTTAAGGGAGCTAATAGAATGAGTTGAAACACTGTATTCTATTACCTGATTTTTTTTTTTGTTGTTTTTTTTTTTTTTTACCGGGGGTTAAATACGGATGAGCGAATGTGTAGCTGGGGCGGTCTAATACAGCAGCAGTGCATAAATCGATTGATAGTACCTGGATACAAGATGTTCCACTTATGCTGTCTGTCTCCAAGCGCAACTGTACAAAGAAAACAATCATACACGACGTGTAACACTTGCATACCCTTAATAAATAAAAGGCAAACGTAACAAGCTGGAAGGTAAACAAACAAGCAAGGTTCCGGTAAACACAACGGTCCATCATATTTCCTGGTATGACGTGGTGGGTGCCGTGTAGTTCCCCTCACTGCTCCTGCAAATGAGGAAGACAAACAAGGTTTCATGGAAATTTTCCACTGTGGGAACACACATCAGCCTCTGAACTGGTCACAAGGTATTAGGTGTGTGCGTGCGCGCGCGCGTCTTATGTAAATTATGTATGAGGCTAATCGAACAACTGTCTTGGTCTCAGACTCAGCTCCAGAGCTCATGTAACCAGGAAATGAATGTAGGTATCCTTTGTACTTTTAATTTTCAGTTGGCAGTTAAAATCAAAACATCAATCCATCCATCCATCCATTTTCTGATTCCCTGATCCTCACAAGGGTCGCGGAACGTGCTGGAGCCTATCCCAGCTGAACTTTTGCTGATAAAACATGTCATTGACAGTCCAAAAAAAAAATGTAATATTGAATGTTATCATAATGGTACATGAAGTGTACCTTAATTGTGCTTCTTCTACAGTTCTACACCATATCTTGTCCAAGGCACTTTGCTAAACCTGAAATTCACTTTTTTTTTTTTTTTTTTTACATATGGAGTATACATACGCACTCATGTGCAAGCGGCCAAACTCCCTTGGTCTGCCGCTGCAAAGGTGTGAGGCAAGCAATCAAGTAACAAAGACAAATGTGTTAATAAACTATCCAGTGGGCAGTCAATACTGCTTCGCAGTTGAATTTAATGCTCTGTAGTTGACTAAATATTCACGTACACGAATGAATGTAGCCTATGCCCCTTCGCAAATGCAACTCTGTCAAAGGTGGCGTGTTTTGACATGTCATAAAGGCATCCCTGTTTTTTTTTAATTTTTATTTTGAAGTAATCGCTTCATGGCAAAGCAAACTATGGAAGAATAAATGTCATTTGAGGTGAAACGGCATCATGTTTTGCCAGTAAGTTCTAAAGCTTAAATCATTAGTTCATGCTTTATTTAGTTATTTTTTTTACATGTTTTTGTACTTGAAAATTCCTCTCAGTTTTTAAGTTGAACAAATACTAAAGGAGGAAGTATTGTAAAACAATCAAACGTTCTTCCTTTAATTCATACCTTTGTTGTAAGCGTGAAGAGAAACTAAAGTCATCTGATTCATTATCCATTCCATCCATTTTCCAATCTGCTTATCCTCACAAGGGGCGCGGGGGGTGCTGGAGCCTATCCCAGCCGTCTTCGGACAGTAGGCAGGGGACACCCTGAACCGGTTGCCAGCCAATCGCAGGGCACACACGGATGAACAACCATCCGCGCCCACACTCACACCTAGGGACAATTTAGAGTGTTCACTCAGTCTGCCATGCATGTTTTGGAATGTGGGAGGAAACCAGAGTACCCGGAGAAAACCCTGGCCGACCCAGGGAGAACATGCAATCTTCACACAGGGAGGGCGGAGCTGGAATTGAACCCGGTACCTCTGCACTGTGAGGTCAAAGCGCTAAACATTGGACCAACGGGTTGATTCAAAAAAATATATATATATATATATATATATATATTTATTTATTTTAATAATTGGATGATTATCGGCATTTTAGTCTGTCAAATATCGAAACTGGCCTCCAAGAATCAATTTCTGTCAGACCCTACATATATTAATTTCGGTTTTAATGTTTATTATTGTGCTCATCGTTATTACAGTGGGGCAGCATGACTGAGTGGTAGAGCGGTCGTCTGCCAACCCAGAGGTTGGGGATTCAATCCCCAGCCATTGCGACCGTGTCCAAGTGTCCTTGAGCAAGATACTGAACCCCCAGTTGCTCCTTATGCTGCGTCATCAGTCGGGAAATGAGGTTTACAAGTGTGAAGCGCATCAAGTACCCGAGGTAGAAAAGCGCTAACCAAGTTACAGCCCAGTTACCGTATTAGGATCAAACTGAATTGCAGTCTTCAAATACTGTAGATGTTTCTAATAATTCTCAGAAAATGGGAGCAATATTAGGCAAAATTGTTTTTGCAAATGCTTGTACTGTGTCTTATTATGATGGTCTTACTGTAATTGTGTACATTGTAATAACAATTCCAGTGTTTCTGTTAAGTCGACCTCACCTTACTTCCTCTTCTTTCAGCCTGCGCGCTGCCTGCTTTGACTGTTTTATTTGCAAGTCCAGTCTTTGTAAGAAGTCTTTGGCAGAGAGCTCCTCCACTTGGGCCAGGGGGGTCCTGGAGTCTTCGGGCGGCGGTGTGGGCGGGGTCGAAGGTCCCTCGACTTCCTGCGACACGACACAGGCGGTCGCCGTATCCTGACATGCCGCTTCGCCGTCCCCGTCAGGAGACTCCGGAGAGAGTCCATTAAAAATGGAGCGCTTGGGCACTGCCACGGGGATGTTGAGGCTGTTCTTGAGGAAGATGCAGTCGTTGCTGAACAACTTGTTGGCTCTTTTGATTTGCTCCATCTGGAAGATTGGGTGATAGCAAAGACAAAGAAGAAGAAAATGTCTTAATGTGTGTTCATTGCAAGGAGGACAGGGAAATCACATCATTTCCAAATGCACTTAATCTGACGTTACCTTGGACATTCTGAAAATTATACTTCCCTTTGCATATTAAAACCTGCAAGCTGGGGTTGCAAAATTGTGGGAGTTTTCAAAATTGGAAACTTCCCATGGGAATGAACAGGAATAAAACAGGAATTTTCAAAATTGATGGTTTACTCTTATTGGGAACAAGTACAACTACTTACGGTATATTTCAGTTTATTACAATACCAAGTATTGATACTAGATAATGCCATTACATCTTGCAACCGTGATGACAATTTGTTATATCTTCCTCTAATTTCGTTCAAAAACAAAATGTAAACTTGTATTGAAGAAGGCATCGGTTTCACTCAACTAAAATACGTTTTAGAGTATGAACTTGTCGTTACTGACATTTGAGTTTTGCATCTTGCACAGCAGAATTTCAAGTTGGCTAAAAGTGTTGTTGTCGTGTGAGCCTTAAAGTAGTTCCATTCCGCTGACATATCATGTTCAGTATATCATCGCTGTCGGGCAGAAATTCTGTATGCCCAAATATGGTCACATTTATATTTTTTCATAAATAGATATTATTAGTCTGTCCCCACTTTGTTATTTTTACACAATGTTTACCAATTTAAAGTGGTGGAAATAGCTAGAGAACAAATCGTTTGGCACTCTTGCAACTTGAAAATATCTTCAAAGTGTTGCATAACTGACCCTTTCCTCATTCTGAGAAAGCTGTTTGGCAAAATCGTCACCTACTGTACATTCTATTTTGAAAGTCTGTTAAAATGGATCGCTGTGATGTTTCACTGTAAAAGGACCCTCGTGAGCCATGCAGGTACATCTATGTGCAGATTCATACAGTATCTTCCTAATAAACAGAGTTAGTCCGCTCATTTGCATTCTATTCACTATTCATGGCTCTAAGACTTTTGAGAATAAAAGTACTGAAAAATCACGAAAACCAAGCATTAGCTCTTGTTTAGTATTTTACACAGTGGGGCACTTGGCATGACCACGGACACTGATGTGCACAGCTTGGGCTGGCTCAGTGTTTGTTCCATTTTTTTCAGTAACTGCAAAATAAAATAATGAGTTTTTTTCTAGCGAGTGAAATTCGTAACTGAACTGAATTTTTGGGGTGATTTTATGTTGCTATGAGTGTGCAATGGTATATAAAGGAATAATAAACCTTGGTGTTTAGTCACTCAAGCAAGATGACTTTTTTTTCTGGAAAAGTCTTCATTTTTTTTGAAGGTACAGTACGAGGATTCCACCCCACCCAACAATGGCAATATATTTGTCGGGCTGATGAAGTGGTATCAGTGTCGCACTATTGGAGTATTTGTATGAGTATGAGTACAGCTTGACAGTATCCGCTCCAATACCTACCACTCTCATTTTCTCTCAAATGTATAAAATGTTTGTTTGGATTGTATTTGAGTAATTTTGCAAAACAACAATGTTAGCCCGATTGCTACCATCATCTCTACGTCAACGTCAAAAGAACATTTGTTGCTATCTACTGAATTCATCGCCCAGTCCCTCGGAGATTACGTTACGTAGGTCTATTTTTAATCAATTTACCAGCTGAAATATAATATGAAACCAGCGTTCCCTTTCCACTTCAAGCTATTTACCTTCAAGCTATTTACCACGCGTGACATCTTTTCAATTGTTACTTCACACATTCAAAGTCTGGTGTCAGAAAAGATGGTGTAAATCATCACTCGAGCTATTTCTCCATTTGTTTCAATCGCTCTGCCTTGGTCAACCACCTGACTCGACAGGGTTTGTTTCCAAGTGATGCCACTCGGAAGTACATTTGAGATATGGTTAAATGTCCTATTGTATGGAATCCGACAGTAAAAATTCTTTTTACATTTGTGGTCAAGCACTTTTCAAAACACCATTTTTTTTTAAAGTAGAATGCTGAATCAGTCTTCCAGTCTTGGCAGTCCTTTATTTACACAAGCATCTGTACTTGTACTTGTGTGCAGGGTGGGAGTACATTTGTGCCTCAGAATATTGATGGAGATACGCAAGTCCAAAGTTAACTCACCGTTACACCATATTTGAGAGCTATTCCCTGCAGAGTATCGCTGTCTGTAACACGATGCTCTATGAATTTCTCCCCCAGAGAGGCCGTGACGCTCGCCGTGCTTCCGTAAGAACGTATCTTAGTCCGAGCCAGGCTTTGGGAGAGTTCGCTCTCTGACTCGGAACCGGACCTGGACCGAGGGAAGATAGGTTGTCCGAATCGTCCCCCTGCTCCTCCATCCCGCATCGGTAATACGGGCGAGAACTCCGCCATCTTCTTTGGATATAATATGGAATTTGTGACCTCAGTGAATGTTAACGATCGACTTCCGCGGCCGGGGATATAAAAATGACAGCGTCGAGGTACTCAAAGGTTGCCATTCCGGGTAGAATTCTGCATGCTAGCCCCAGAGGATAAACATGTTTCGGGGAGCACTACCTCAAAATTCGCTTTCGTCATTGGCCGTCACGTCGACGTACCGACGTGCCAGCGGCAGTGCGTCCAATCAGCGACAAGACTTTTAATTCACTTCCGGTACGCTCTGAAAATAAAATTATGTCACTCGCATCGGATTTTTTATTTTTATTTTTAGTAATTGTTTCAACAGTTCGCGTTTTGTCATCATTTTATATAGTATTGAGATTTGTTTTCTCTTACTTATTTTCAATGTAATAATTATTATTTTACATTTAATTGTATAGCACAGTTATTCCGATTTTTACACTATAGCAAATAAAAGTAATCAATAATGCTTTTAAAAATACATTTTATTGCCATCCTTAGTCCATGCATCTTAAACTGCGCTAACCTTTTTACCATCATTTTTGAGTTTTACCTGTAATTTGTATATGTATGACTGTATACTATATAACTATATGAATCACTTGCAAAGTGAATCATACTGTATAAATTAAATGTGCGTACTTATTCCTCACCTACTTACCGTACTTACAGTGGTGCCTTGACTTACAAGTTTAATTTGCTTGTAACTCAAAACATTTGCACCGTATCTCAAATCATCTTTCCCTATTGAAATGAACGAAAATGTCATTAATCCATTCTAGCCCCACCAAAAACACCAGAAAGTGCACACATTATATTATACACATCGTTGCTTGATCCATTGGCCTATCTATGGCATTTTGCCTTGCGAGTTAGCATGTAGATAGTGGACTTTTGGAAGTTACTCTATATTCATTCGTATCCACGATTCATTGGTGTGTTAGAGAACTTCGCCATAATTCGTTCTGGTTCATTCAATTCCGGTATTTATTAGGGCTGCACTACAGCAGTAGGTATTTGGGGGTGCATAATCTTGTCCTATTATGCTGTACAGTATTTCCTCCCAGTGATACCACTCGCTCCCCCCCCCCCACACACACACACACACACACACACACACACACACGGGTGATAGTACTAGTTTATTTTTGAAAGCCCAAACCATTGTAGTGCACCACTATTTTGCTCCTCCCCAACTCCCACGCTTCTGTTAGACCCAGGTGGAGGGGTTGTAACAGTCAGTTAATCATTGTAGAACTGCAGGCCAGAGACCCATCATTGAACTGTAGATAATGAAATTGTTACGGGAACACTGCGAACCCATGATGGGAAAGTCTCTAAATGTCTAAATGTTCTCCTTGTCTTTTTATTAATTATATCAATATTTCGATTGCCTCTTGTCCTTCTTTCAGCTTTATCTGCCCTATGAATATTTAGAGCACAAAAGAATCACCAAATTCACTTAATTAGCTTTACCTCGTGAATTAATGTAGTCAGTAGTTATAGAATCCTTTATTCACACAGAGGGATTGTAAACAATAGTGACCCGACTGCACTGGATGGTGCTGATGAAATGTGCTGATGTGTTATTCACCTGGAGCACAAAGAGGGCAGGTGCTGCTTTGGAATGAACACAATGAAGTCTAATTTGCTGTGGTGGGCAGTATTGGGACACAACTGTGACTCATTCATAATTTATGATGGTGGGATGAAACTATTGGAGCACATACTGGCCAATTATTCTTATCCATACGATCCATGTAGTTTTGATTATTTCAACTCAACTTTATTTATAGAGCGCTGTAAAATATAACCACAGCTGTAACAAAGTGCTTTGCCTTTCTGTCCACTATGCTACATAACTAGCATCTATGTTGCAGTGCTACAGTATAACCCAACAGCTCGAACAAACAGGACAGCGGTACACATACAGACAATATAACAGTACTCACAATCATATATTCTTCATCCCCTGCAAAGAACGACTGATATTACTGCTGTACTGATTGGCTGAGAAGAGTTGAGAGGTCTCAATAAACAAATTTTCCATCTCTTTGTCTAAGGGCCTGTTTATATGAGGATGCTCAGAATTCGGAAGTGCCTAATTTCTTTAGACGGTAACGGCGTTTTGGGGGCTTGAATACGCAAACATTTTAAATCACCCTCCAGAGTGGAAAAGTTGAATACGCTCCCCTATTTTGTTCCCATGTACAAGGCCCAAAACTCAAAACGCTTAGATCTGCTCATGTTATGTATGTGTTTATGCCACATACATGTGCCTGTACAGGGAAGTAAACAAACATGTCTGACTATAACCATTTATTGACCCTTCAAGCTGCTCTGGCTGCTTTCATCAGAAATGCAAGTAAACTTTTCCAAATAAATTTTTTGTGATGATACTGGCCTTTGTTTTTTTTCTCCAGCATATAAACGTTTCATCATAATGATCAAACAATATCTAATATAGTAAAATACCTAGTAACACTTATAAATGAAGGGTTAGGTTCAGCAACAATTGGATTTTTTCTGAAACATCACAACTATAAATTACAACGGTAAAATCTGTATTGCACACGATTTTATGGGTCAAACTTAAAAACAAAAAAACTAAAATATCCCCAAAAACTGGTATGGTAGAAAACAAAATTAAGACTTTTTTTTTTTTAATCAGCTTAAAAAAATACGTTTAGGGACACATAAAAAAAAGCCATATTCAGTATCCCCATCACTGCCAGATAATATATTGTTGGGATATCTTAGTTTTAGGGGAGATTAATTAAATGACAAAATTAATTTACAATCTTATTCCGGCCTAAATTTATAGATAAGCGGTACAGAAAATGGATGGATGGAAATTTAAATGCAACGATCGTGCGTTTCTGGTGCAATTAAGTAAGTACCAGACCGTCCAGGCCAATAGTCTGATCAACATTTGGTCTCTTCTGACTCCTACTGGAATACTGCGGTACTACACTTTAGCTAATTGTCACATTATTTCGAGCACTAGATGGCGCAATTAACCTTTTTTTTTCAATTATCTTCACTATGAAGCATGTGCTATATTATTTTGTTATAATATCATTTTGTTACAATATTCTGTAGTTGGAATGGCAAGGCAAAGGTAGTTTACATCGGGGATTACTTTTTAGTACGCACGAAAGGGAACTTCAATTTAAATTCTTCCACTTTGGAAAGGAATTACCCTGATTTATTTCCCCCATTCGGAAAAAAAATGTCAGAGACAGTCTAAAACGCTTGTCGTAAAAAAAGCTTAACGTGGCTGAATGTCAGAAAACTACATCCGCTCCTTATAAAAAAAAATACATGCGCATCTCAACGTCTGCCCCCTTCAACCTCTGAAAATATGAAAACAATCGCCACAGTATTTTGGATATACTGTACAGGTATAGGGCTAGGCATTAAGATTTTCCGTCCCAATCGAGATTAACTCTAGAGAAAAAGATTAACGTGTTTTAATCTTAGAAAACCACGACCAATCGCCGCCACATCAATGTATGAAAATATCAAAACGATCGCACCATTATTTAAGATTTTATGGACATTACGCGTCTTCCTATGTGCGCACTCAAGCTTAATGAGGAAAACGCTTCATGTCCAAGAAATCCAAAATATTGTTTTGACATTTTCAGAGATTGGTGTGGGCATGGGTAGAGATATACAAATCATTTTTTGCGGTGATTGGTCATAGTTTTCTAACATTGAGCCAGGTTTTAAAACGTTCTCTCTCTCTCTCTATATATATATATGTATGTATACATATACATATATCTATACATATACATATATCTATACATATACATATATACATATACATATATATATATATATATATATATATATGTATACATATACATATATGTATACATATACATATATACATATACATATATATACATATATATACACACACACACACACACACACACACACACACACACACACACACACACACACA